TTGGTGTCCCTTCCATGTTATTTCAATGGGGCTATGATCAGCCCATGTGTTTGTTGTAATTTCTATTTGTTTAATGTCTGCTATAAGCTCTGCTGTCATCCAAGCCATGTCAATTCTGGACCACGATTGATGTGGATTTGAATAGAATGTGTATTGTTGTTTATCATAATTGAGTTCCCTCCAAGCATCTTGTAATTGAAATTCTTCTACTATATCATAAAATGTTTCTGGAAGTGTTTTTTTCCTGGATTTATTATGTTTACAACTCCTATAGTCCTTCTCTATGTTTACAATTGCATTAAAATCTCCAATTATGCATATGTTTTGGTATTCCAATTCCTTAATTTTGTTGTGCATCTTTTTAAAATAATCAATTTGGGTTCCATTTGGTGCATAAAGTGATACTAGTAATATCTTCTTCTTTTCTGTTTCAATTTCAACCATCAGCATCCTACCCTCCTCATCTGCAAATAATTGCTTTGATTGTATATGATTCCGGATGTACATTGCTATACCTCTCTTTTTTTGTTCTGTTAGTGCCGTATAAAGTTTTCCTAATCTTTTGTTCTCTAATAAACTGCGTTGTTGTTTTTTAATATGAACTTCTTGTAATGTTATAATATCTATCTTCAATTTTTGTAAATTTCTAAAAGTACGTGATCTCTTTGATGGAATGTTTAGTCCATTTATGTTAATCGATATCAATTTTAAATCTTTCTCCATTTCAAATTTCTATTTTCTTGATGTTCTTATTTTCCTAGTGTCTTTTTTTTCTGTAATTTGTATTTTATCCCTTGCTCCTTCTCTTTCCATTCTTTCTTTCTCCCCTCTTTTTCTTTCTTCTTGCTGTATTTTTCTCGGTTTGTTCTCCTGATTTGCAATTTCTTGCTGTGGTTCAGATTCTTGTTCTTCCTCAGGAAAAAAGTTGCTATCAAAAAATTGCTGTGCTTTCTCTAGTGTATCAAGTTTATATTTTTTATCTTGCCATGAAACAAGCAGTCCCTCTGGCGTTAACCACCGGAACATTATTTTATGTTTGTGTAATTCTGTTGTCAGAAAGTTATAATTTTTCCTTGTTTCTCTTATTCTTCTTGGTATTTGTTTTAATGTAATTATTTCTTTTCCCTTATATATAATTGGTTTTTCTCTCATTTTTTTGTATATTTCCTCTTTTACCAACTTCCTTACAAATCTAATATGAACCTCTTTTGGTAACCTGTTTCTTCGGGCGTAATTTGTGAATACTCTATAAATTTCATCAATTTCCTTATTAATTTCTTCTTTATTCTTTAACGTTGCTTCAGCCAGAATTCCCACCATTACATCTCTCAAATCTTCCTCTCTGTTTTCCACTATATTTTGAAATCTTAGGTAAAATAACGCCTTTTCCATTTCTAAAAATGAAATTGAATCTTCCAGTTCTTTGTTTATTGTTGTTTGAGCACATTCTGACTCTTCTATCTTTTTTTCTACTTTGCCCATCTTATCTTCAATATTTTGGATCCTTTGTTCATTTTTAGCAATATTTTGTTGAATTTTCTCTATCTTATTATCCATTTTTTTAAGATTATCTTTAATTTCACCTATGTCCATTTTCAAATCCTCATGGTTTTTCCTACTTTCTTGATGGTTATCAGCAATTGATTCCTGTGTTTTGTTCATAGTCTCTTGTATCATTGATAATACTGAGTGAATGTTTTTGATGTTAATTGATTGAGGAGATTTCTCTTTTTCTGAAAGTAACATTGTGTCTATTGTTTTCTGTTGTGTTGATGACGTAATAGACATTGCTTGGTTGGCTATTGCCTTTTTACCTGGTTTTGTCATTATTAATAAGCCAGTAGTTGTCGTCTTAATTTTCTAATTTAATAATTCCCAAATTTTCACGCACTGTCTATAGCATATAGTAAGATTTTCCTTCTGATAATTACAGAAGCCAATATCACTTGTTTAGTTTTCAAATACAGTCAAATTTCAAACTATAATATCATTATATGAGGGATTAATTAAATTTAAATAAGGAGCAGGGATAAAATATGATATCTCAGCAAGTCATATTTCAGTTTCTAGACTAAATATTCTATTTAAATATATTATTAATTCTAATAAGTTCTATTAAATCCTTAGTTATATCTCTAATAAATTTTATCAATTTTAATAAATTTATTCTTATTTAAATCAATATATATCAATATTAATAATCAATTTTCAATTCATTCTTTTAACACCATATCAATTTTTAAATTAATATTAAATTGTGTCACATAAAAAAAACTATTAGAATAGAAAAACAAGATAAAACAGAAATAAGAAAAAACAGATATGCTATGTGTTATATTATTATATCTATTCAAAACTTATATATTCCAACTTTTCTTACTTATATTAGAAAGTATATATTTAACATTTAAGCTTAAGTAATCCTAAACCTTATGCTATTTGGGCTATAATATTATATACTATATTCTATATTAAAACATTAAGTATTATTACATAAATAAACAAATAAAAAAAGATAAAAGTACTTAAAAGTACTTAAAATATTATTAAAATAATTCAATTAAAATAATTCAAATAAATTAAGTCTTTCAAACAATAAAATAAATTTCTTTCGTTATATTAGGTTCCAGAATATATTAAAAAGTATATATTTAACATTTAAACTTAAGTAATCCTAAACCTTATGCTATTTGGGCTATAATATTATATACTATATTCTATATTAAAACATTAAGTATTACATAAATAAACAAACAAATAGATAAAAGTACTTAAAAGTACTTAAAATATTATTAAAATAATTCAATTAAAATAATTCAAATAAATTAAGTCTTTCAAACAATAAAATAAATTTCTTTCGTTGTATTAGGTTCCAGAATTGAAGTCTTTGCAATCCTCACTTGGTTTTGTGTCTTTTCAGTTGTCTAGTTTGTAATTGTTTCCAAAGTCCTTCAATTTGCCTTCTGAAAATATTTTAAACACCTCTTCCAGAGCCTCAATGTTTTTTATTTATTTGCAAGTTAATACTCTAATATAGTTACAGTATCTGTTCACTGAAGCTCTGCCACCGTTACAAAGTTTTTAAATCCCTCACAGTCACTCCGGAAACTAGATACTGTTTCTTCTTCGTCTCTTCTTTATTGTCTCCGCACCAGCTTCTTTTTTTTTAAAATAAGTCCAACACTTGGATCTGTATTTCTTTCCCCAAATGAATAATCTTTGTCTATTTCCCAATTTCTGTCTGGTAAATCTATAACTATGTGTTTTATTTCCAATCCACACCTCTCCGTTGCACTTCCTCAAAATCGCCTCAGCTCCGTTGCCTGTCAGTTTCGCCCCCTCACACTTCAATTAGCCTCGTTAACTCACTCCGTTATATTTTCACTCCGTTTCTTCTTAACAATTCTGCTTTGCCGATCAGTTTCTCTTTTTAGTTATGTATCCGATGTTTTAAATATTTAAATGTTTCAGAATAAGAGTAATTAGTTATTCTTATTGATGCTGTTTGCTCAATCCTCACTTCCCTTTTTTAAAAGCAACCGTCAGCGTTCTGGCCAACCGACAAGAGGTTGGTTTTTTTCCGGGCTGAATTAAGGGACTTTCCTTGAACCTTCGGGGCAAGTTTTTATACTCCCGAGGTCCTCAGGATTTTCCCTTTTATCTATTGACCTCTTCGTGGTCAATAGAGCTAAAAAAATTCAGCTTTCAGACCGAAAATTGGGACCTAGGAACGGAGCGCTGTCCCCTCGGTTCCTATCACGCTGACGTCACCAACGGATGTCTCCCATTTTGCCCCTCCTTTTGCATCCTTTATTTAATTATTCAATTCTACCACTTCTTCATTATTAGTCTAACTTGTTCTGCAGTGAGTTGTTGCATGGTGAGTTGGCCTGCAGTGACTTGGCCATGCTGAGTTGGCCATGCCAAGTTGTCCTAGATCCAGTAGACTGGGCCTTCCATTCATTAACTGACATATTTTTCTCCATGGATTGCAGATAGGATATGGTTAGGTAGGTTGTCCAATATTTAGATTTGTTCACAATCCCAAACTATATAAGCAAACTATTTGAACACAAACCATTTGTGTCAATACATAAGCTGAGGTGGCACAATGGTTAGAGTGCAGTACTGCAGCTACTTCAGCTGACTGCTAGATCAGCAGATCAGTGGATCAAATCTCACCGGCTCAAGGCTTGACTTAGCCTTCCATCCTTCCGAGGTGGAATGAGGACCCAGATTGTTGGGGGCAATATGCTATTTAGTATACTGTCTTTGGTGTAAGCCGCCCAGAGTCCTTGGAGAGTGGGTGGCATAGAAATATGAATAATAAAATAAATAAAATAAATATTTTTTTTCTTGTACTCCATCATGTTTCTGGCCTCAGACATGAATCCAACATGTCCATTTTCATAACATGCATAACTACACTAAGAGGGGTATTCAGGAGCCATGTAAACCATATTGATAAGATCCTATTGTTGGTAGTCCAACATCTTAGAATGAATTATTTCTGCTGAATAATTCTTAGCTTGGACTATTTTTCTTTCTTTTTATTTAATTTAATATCCATTGTTTTTCTTGAAAAAAACCTATTTAAAATATTTTTTTACATGGATCCCCCTTCACTATGGGATTATCGCAGATGTTCATTATGTGGTATGACCAACATCTGACATATGCCTGTTTTATTCCGTCTTTGCTTTTAGGGGAAATACATTTGCAAAAGATGTGAGAGAGACTGAGAGAGGGAGAGACTCCGCTGATGGCATGTGGTTTGCAGTTGGAGTAAAAGGTGAAACAATTTATGATGGCTCTTAAATCAAGCTGAGGCTGGATTCCAACCTTTTGGATTAATGCCCAGACCAACTACATCTTCTTTACAAGCTGTGTTTAAGAACCAAAAATATACTTTCCAGGGCAAAAAAACAGGATAGCAATTAGAGATGTCCTCATACTTCTTCTCTGAGCATGATGGATAAGCCTATGAGATAGCAAGAAGATGGTACAGGCAAACTTTATTAATGATGTTATTGAGTTAAACCATTTTTCTTGGTGTGCATAATACACTGTAGGTCTTGATTTCATTGAAATAGTTCTTAGGGCAGGTAGAAGATAAAGCCCTTGTTGAATGGGTTTATCTTCAGACACTTTATGCAGCGGTTCCCTCCCTTTTTTGGGGTGGGGTTATGGTTCTTGCTTTTTAACTGTAAGACACCCAGAATCAGCAGCTTCCAAAATGCTAAAATAAATAAAACAAATGGGTTATATATACATCACTGTTTAAAACTAAACTCCACCGACTGTGTAAATGAAGATATTGTAGCTTTCACTGATTTGATTACATGGTTAAAAGCATTTTGTATCCTGGCATAATCCAAGTATTATCACACTGAAACAAATTTGAATATAAAAGCTGCACACCCTCATTTCTGAATGAAAACCTCATGAGAAAAATCAAAGCATAAAGATGTCTGTTCCTGAGCTCATAAAATATTATAGTGTTTGTATTATTTAAATGAATTCTTTATTTGGGTGCCTCGCTTTCGATATGAGAGGATAGCTACTGCTAAGTTTTCTTAATGTCAGGACAGATACTGCTTAGTAACTAAACATCACTTAGACATTAAATTCTAAGCCAAAGAAGCATGAGTCTGGTTATTTCTAAATACAGTGCATTGGGATAGCAAGGATTAGAATTCCTAGCCAACATGGCCAAAATATTTGGAGGGAATCCAGATTGAGATATATATACATATACATCATATACATATACATATACATATACATATACATATACATATACATATACATATACATATACATATACATATACAGTGGTGGGATTCAATTTTTTTAACAACCGGTTCTGTGGGCGTGGCTTAGTTGGGGGTGTGGCTTGGTGGTCATGTGACCGGGTGGGCGTGGCTAGCTGGTCATGTGACTGGGTGGGCATGGCTAGCTGGTCATGTGACCGGTGGGCGTGGCTATCTGCATAGGGACTACAGAGGGCTGAAAAAAATTATTTCTGACTGGTCCTCGCACTTTTGACCAGTCCTCGCACTTATGACCATCCTCACATTTATGCCCGTTGCGGCATTCTTAACAACCATGTCACTCATTTCACAACTGCTTCTCTTCATTATGGTGACAAGATAGGGCAAAAACGTAAAATGTGAGGACAGTCGTAAGTTCGAGTACTGGTCAAAAGTGTGAGGACCAGTCAAAAATAACTTTTTCAGCCCTCTGAGTAGTCCATATGCACAAAAGGACTACCCAGAGGGCTGAAAAAAGTGATTTCTGACAGGTCCTTGCACTTTTGACCGGTCTTCGCACTTATGACTGGTCATCATTTATGCCCATTGTAGCATTCTTAACAACCGTATCACTCATTTCACAACTGCTTCTCCATGGTGACAAGATAGGGCAAAAATGTAAAATGTGAGGACAGTCGTAAGTTCGAGGACTGGTCAAAAGTGCGAGGACCAGTCAGAAATAATTTTTTCAGCCCTCTGAGTAGTCCATATGCATAAAAGGATACAGCAATAGAGAGGGATGAAGGAAGGGAAGGGAAATTAGAGTAGGAGTGAGGGTAAGAGAGGGAGGAAGAGAGGAGGAGAAGGAGAAAGGAAGAGGAAGTAGGGAGGAGAAGAAGAAGGGGAGGAAGAGAAAGTAAGAAGGAAAGAAAAGAGAGAGGTGGTAGGTTTGAGGAGAAAGATTGCTGTACAATAAAAAAGATGAAAGGGAAGAAAGCCAACCCCAAACAAATATAAAGATATTAAGATAAAGAATGAATTGTTAAACTTTAAAGAATAAAAGAGAACAAATATGAATAAATAACAATAATTAGAAACACACATACAAACATACAATGTATTTTCTTTGAACAGAGTATTTGGCCGGTTCACAAATTTAAACAGTGTTTAGTCATTTCAATTAAATTTACAATTTCTATATTTCCTTTTTGCCATATTTATTCCTCATCTATTTTTGTAAAAAACCAATATTACCCTTCATCTTCATCTCTAATCTTAATCAAATTCAATTTTTCCCTTCTATTCTATATTATACCCCTTCCCATTGTCATCTATTTTTATATCCATCCTCACATTGGTTAATTATGTAATATTACAGTTGTTTAATATAAATTCAACATTTTAATATAAATCAATTAATTATATAACTACCTTTTTTGTATATTAATCAATGTGAACATGAATATTCCAATTATTTCCATGCAATCCAATTTCTTACAAATCAATTAATTATATTTACCAATAATAATAAACCAAATAATTTCCCCCATATATTCCTCCAAACCACAACTTAACCGTTTCTGCTTTCAACACAATATACAATTAATAGTATCTCAATTATTACAATTCCCTAGTTAAATAGAGCTTTTTTCTTTTGTGTTTTAAAATCTTGAACTCTCCTCTTTTCCCCTAAATTTCCCATTGTTTGCACCTACCTTTTTTGGTGAGGAAAAAGAAAAGAAATCTGCCTGCCTAATTTTCCAACGTGCAAAGCCAACAGCCTGCTTTACTTTCTGTTTCGTTTTTCAATATAGCTAGGGGGAAAAAAATCAGCACTCTTTGCAAGCAAGCAGCAGAGCCATGAGCAAAACAGCTGAGAGCAAATCAGCTGAGAGTCGGGAGCCAATCTAAGCAAGGGCTAATTAGCCTATGCTGAAGCTCCGCGGGCCAATAAAATTACAAAAAAACACCGAACCCTTTGTTAAATTGCTGGCTCGCCCGCCCCTCGCCCACCACTATTTATTGGCAATAAATAATGGTGCGGAGGGGCGGGGCAAGGGGCGGGGCGAGCCAGCAATTTAACAAAGGGTTCGGCTGAACCCCCTATAACTGGCAGAATCCCACCACTGTACATATACATATACATATACATATACATATACATATACATATACATTACATATACATATACATATACATATACATATACATATACATATACATCAGTGGTGGGTTTCAATTTTTTACTACCGGTAAACCCCCTATAACGGCAGAATCCCACCACTGTACATATTACATATACATATACATATACATATACATATACATATACATATACATATACATATACATATACATATACACATACACATACACATACACATACACATACAAATACATACACACACATACACATAAACATACACACTCAATATTTTCATTAAGCATTCACTTTTTATATTTAAGTATTATGCATCTCCATGTTATAGGCATGGTATCACTTTCTGATACATGTTTCTCAGTGATGGGGACCACAAATTCCTCAAATGACAAACTACTTTAGTACATCTGGAAAGTTTCGTCATAAATAAAAAATATCATTTATGATATAATAAAATTACATAATGATAGCCATCCATTATGGAAGATGTGGTCTGCTAAGGAACAAAAACAAGAACTGCTGACAGCCTCAAGGTTGATAGGAAATGAATTTATTTCATTTGGCCTAGGTTACATTAACCTTTCAAAAACATAACCTTCCCTATGGGGACTGAGAAAAGAAACAAAAACATATATATCTTGCTCAATTTGAAGATGCTCTGTTACCAAAACTTTGTAGATATGCATTGGTTCCCCCCCCACAAAACAGTCACAAGTGAATGACAATAAACACGGACTCTTCGATGCTATATTTTTAAAGAGAACAACTGCACTACAATAAGAAATTGTGGGCTTAGTTCTTAAGTATAATCATAAAAAACACCTGGTACCTTAAACAGTGCCATAGCATTTCCATGAGAAACAGATGCGCTTTTGAAAGAGAAACAGAGATTTGTAGAGATTTATTGTGTTTAAGTCAATGGTTGAAATAAAATAACTTGCACCATCTTGCATGCTGTGTGTTAGAAACAATAAACCTTCCGTTTAGAGGATCTGCAGTCCCTGTTTAGCACTTAGTCCAGTGACTAACATGTACCATCATATTTTCCTTAGTTAATTAGTTAAATGAGGGAAGGAAATTACTAATGGAAGGAAGACGATATGCATAAGTATCTTTTATTTCTCACTTTTTAGTTTCTTTTATTTTATTATCAGAAGAATAGTTCCCTGCCACTGTATAGCTAAGCAGTATAGGAAAAAAGTTCCCATTATTGTCATATTCTTCCTAATGAGACAAAAGTAGAAGTAAGTATATACTATTCTAACTTTTTCCAATCTTTCAGCAATCCTCCAGGTGTGTTCACTTCTACTCCCAGAATTTTCAGCAGTAGCTAGGCTAGTTGGGGAATTCTAGGAGTGAAAGTTTACAGATCTGGGAGTGCCCAAATTGTGGAACTAATCTTAAGGCATTTAAGGTTTGGTAACACCTGGTTTGGCAATCTAAAAATACGCATAGTTTTTCATATAGTTTTAGAGATTATGCAAGAATAACATTTCACATAAAAATACATTTAACAAGAGAAAAACAACTGAAGTTTCAACCCCCCCAACTCTCCCCATCCTATTTCTGTAGACTGCAGGTGTATCAACCTGGTGGCCCACGGCCCAGGTGCGTCACACACAAGCCACGCCCACTGCAGTTCTGCGAGGGGAAAAAAAGTTGTGAAACATCTTGTGATGGCAATGTTTGATACCTGTACTGTAGCGGTTTCATAGATTCACAGAAAAAACTAGTTATAAAGGATTTTTATTTGTTTGTATTTATTTAAATCATTTATTTGGCCACCCCTCTCACAGCAGTGATTCTGGGAGGTGTACAAAGATTAAAAACCAACAATTACAAATAATAGCAAAAAGATGCTCAAGATAAATAATATATTCCAAAACCAAATCAACAAAAGAGCTTGTTTAACCTCCTGGTCCAAATGCTGGAGAAACAGCCAGATCTTCAGAGCCTCTGAATGTTTTGAGGATGAAGCATGGTAATCATCCTTACCTTTTTTTCAGCATAGCTTTCACTCAAGTGTGCCCCATTTTATTATCCATTATATATATTAATGTATTTCAATTTATCTGTCCGCCCATCTCACATTTAATAGAACAGAAGACTTTGACCAAATAACTGAGTTGGAAGGGACCTTAAAGGTCTTCTAGTCCAACCCCCTGCTCAAGCAGGAGACCCTATACCATTTCAGACAAATGGTTGTCCAATCTCTTCTTAAAAACCTCCACTGATGTAATAGCCACAACTTCTGGAGACAAATTGCTTCACTGATTAATATAGATAGTCCTCGACTTAGGATCCTGATTGAGCCCAAAATTTATG